AACTAGAGGAACTCTCCAGTCTTCTAGAACATTCTGGAGACTTTGAACTTTCTCTGAGAGTGTCAACCAATGTCATCTAAGGCTTCAAGGGACTCAAAATCTCCTGCTGTCACCACAGTGGCATCGTGAGTCCTTCTGAATGCAGTATTGGATGGTTTTCATTCCATAGTACTACATATGATGTTCCTTCTTCAACCTTCATGGAATTGGTGCAATGTTCTTGGATTCTATGGATGAACATTGCAAAGGAATCACATGAGTCAGAGTTCAATTAAAAAAAAAAACACCAAAAACTTTTCTTAAAATAGTCCATTATGTGATACTATGCCTCCTTCCATGATCCCATGTGAGAGGTTTCCTTAGGAATTCTGCATCAAGCAGAGCACTCCACTTGGGATCCTAATCTGCCTTTACTTAATTAAAGATTTGGAGGTGTAGTGATGCCATTTCATTCCAGCTACAGAAGGCTCAGGAACCAAGAGTATATTGCCTGCCGTCAGGGGTTTTGTTTCAGCCTTTCTGTGACTTTTTTTTCTGTTTGACTTGTTTTGTGCTACTCTGTTTTAATGTGTTCTTCATTGAAAAGCATTTCAATCCTCTATGGAAATATTGGCTAATAAAACTAAAAAACAAAAACAAAAACATAAAACTTTGGTTTTGTTCAATAAAAATTTTCATCAGAATCATATCAAATGCTAAGATACTCTGGAGCATCCTGATGCAGCTGCCAGTAGCACCACATGCTCCCCTTTCATTTCTGCACCTTGTGTCTTTTCTGAGTATTAGCTGCTCAGTGGGAGCCACACCTTCTCTTTTGTCTCCTGTGGAAGTGAGGGTTTAACCATTTTACTTACATCCTGCTTCCTACTACTTTTGTTCCTAACACTCACAACTGACTTTAAATATACCATTTTTTGGATAAAATTAATATAAATGCCTACTTATATGAAGAAATGACATTTTTGTTGAACCACAGTGTTTTCCCATAAAGTAGGTTATGTGGATGAAGTTCATGTGCAATGCACTCTGAGGTGACTAGCACAGAAAAAAGAGAGGGGGAAGAAGCACTTTGTAGGTTATAAAAATCAGGAGACCAGCACTTTATTACTTAACACAATGCACTGCAGACAATTCATATGGTTTAAGTGATATTTTTTTTTCTTTCTTTTTTTAAATGTCCCTCAGGGATTCTCATCCTTGGCACTATTGACATTTTGGACAACATAGTTCCTTGTTGTGTGGGTTGCAACACCCTTTAACCTCTATACATTGGATGCCAATAACATCCTAACTCAAGTTGTGACAATAAACATTCATCTAGATATTGCCAAGTTATACCCTGAAGGGCATGCTTTTCATTAAGAATCACAGATCTATTTGCCTAACTTTCCCCCATGATAGGCTGTATCACTATTTTCTGATACATCTTGGGCTTCAGTTTTATCATGTCATGGTCATTCTCTGTGCCTGTGGCCCAACTGCTTGTTTTTAAATGTTTTACACACCTGCTCCTTTCTGTCTGCTCTATGGCTAGAAGCAAAAGGTGCAACAGTGAGTATGCTTTATTTGTTCTGTTGCGACTTTTAACCTCACTCTGTCTTGAATACAATCTATTTTGGGGTGGCTTTCAATGATGCTGTTGGAACTGTTTCCTAGACTCACGGCTTTGATCTTACCACCTTTATCCTTCAGGTCTCCATGTATGGGTGGCATAAATTACATTTGTTTTCATTATTTCAAATTTAGTCCTCATCAAAATCTATTGCCAAATCCAAACTGTATAGTGTAAATAGAAATCTTTCTCAGAATATAATGGCATCTATCATATTTTTTAAAAAAATTACTCCACTAGGCTGAAAGAAGGCAAAATTTGACATGAAAATTAATTTAGGAATTTCCTTCCCTCTCCCATTTAATAAATGCTATCTAAATTCTTGGCTGCACAAAGGACTGGAGCATTTAACGAATTACTGTGACAGTTAACAGTTGTAGTAGACTGTTTACTTGCTAGACCCAATATAAACTCATCCAAATTCAAATTACAATAAACATAAAATAAAGTGCTATGCTGTGTAAGGCCAATTAATCCTTTCTATTATGCCCAATTTTCATGGACAAGGACTATTGATATTCTAGCTTTGAATCCAGAAAATGTGGGCCTAAGTAAAATATTATATTAATTTTGAACAAATAGGCATAGACAATATTTTGGAAATGCCTTACATGTTTCATAGTTTATATTTTTTTTTTTTTTGAGGAAGGGTCCAAAGAAGAGTAATGTAGTTTAGAAAATAAGAGGGCAGATTCTGCAGTCAAAATGCCGGGGTAAAAATTTTAACTTCAGGATCTCTGTTACATTGCACTGGAACAATTATGCAAAATTCCTAAGCTTCTTTCTCTCTCACTGTGCAATAACAGAACTGACAGGGATGGGTGTTATGAGGACTAAATAATATAATGCATATAAGCAGAGAATCCTATCCTTATCCTATAGGAAGAATTTGATGAATGATAGCCATAATAATTTCACAGAAAATTGGATTGTCGTGGATAATGTTGATAAGAAACCCATCCTCTAACTGGCTTGAGAAAGAAAGAGAAATCTGGCTTGGAAAAAGAGGTCTAGAGGGTAGTTTTTGTTTCTGGCCTAGAAAGTCAATTTCCACCTATGTCATAAAGCCTTGGTTCTTCTCCATTTCTTTGTCCATTGTTTAAAAAAACACTTCGGGTGTAATCTTATGCTTTCCATGAGAAATCCTGGAACTTCCTGTCTCTCCCATTAGAGTGATAAAATGGTTGTAACAGCTCCTCATATCCATTTAGTCTCCACGTGAAAAAGGATGAACATTTTGTCCGGTAAGACAAAGGTCACAGATTTACTACGATCAGGTTAATTTAGGTCATATACCTATCCTCTTGCAGCCATAGGCACATGCTGGGCTGATTTAGTTAGGTCTCACATCTTTCATTAGATGTGTCGGCTGCTGGGGCAGGGGGAGCTCTATCCAGATTCTTCATTAATTGTGCACACACAAAGGGAAATAGGGTGTATTTCTCAGAGGAGGTAGAGTGGATAAGGGGACTCAAGGCAGTATGGTCCACGGAGAGGTTCTTTATCCTCATTCCTTACTTTGTATGTAAATGAATAAGGACAGGGCTGGGGATTTAACTCAGTGGTTCTGCCACCTGCCTCTCAAGTGCAAGGACCCGAGTTCCATCCCTGGTACCAAAAAAAAAAAAGAAGTAGTTTAGTTACTTGTTGCTTGTTAAGAGAATTGCCTGCATATTTTCTGGCTGATATATTTTGCTTTTTGTGTAGTCAGAACTCCTTGGAAACTTCTCTGTAGCAGCAGTGGCTAGGAGGAGGCTACCAGTCAAAAGGGGCACACTTCCGGGGGGTTCTTATGTCAACAAGTGCTGGCTGATTTGCAGCAGGTCTGTGCAGCAGCTTGTGTACAGGACGGACTTCTGTATGCTGAACCCTCCCAGGACTTCTCCTTATTGGCAGGCAGCAGCCATCTTTCTATCTGCCTGCATTCTGGAGGACTGAAGCTTATTTGTTTATATGTGGGACATTGTCATTTAGCAAGTGTGTGTGCCCATATGGTGTAGCAGAGCTTCATCAGGCCTGGAAAAGAAGTTCCATGAGATATATCCCAATTCACTGGGAGGTTCTGCCAAACTCTCTATTTGTCATCTTGTTTAGTTCTTCAAAAGAAGCTTTATATGTCATGGCCCGAAGGCATAAATGCCTCATCATCATTTGGATTCTTGAAGCAAAGCATTCATAATAGCAAACTCACTTTTAATAGTTTCAGAATTAACATCATTTATTCATCAAATTTACATCTCTTGTGTGTCTAGATAAATATTTTCCTATCACATTGCTTGAAGGGTAAATCTTAAGGTCTTTAAACTCTTAGAGATTTATTTATCTAAAGCTTGTGTATGAATGATTTGGAAATGAATATTATGAAAGCTAAATTTGCTCATTGTAAACTGTATGAAAAAAATGCAAAATCTTTATGAAAAAAAAAACAAGGCCAGTCAGATTTCTAAGACTGGCTCTTTCTAATGATGGGAATTCAGGTTTCAAACTCAGTTACATTTCTCAAGCCGGATGGGTTGGCAGGATGAATGAAGGCTCTGCCATGGCCCCGGACAGGGTGGATGTTTTGACTGTCGCTCCCTGACACGTGGAGAGGATCCAGGTTCCTGTCTGTCGGGGAGTCCAGACAGAATGCAGGCTGTGTATTTTGGCCCTTGATGGCATAGGGTCCTCACTTCTTCTATGGTTTCGTGGTGTAAAGCACATAGCAATAATTCAGGAAACTTTACCCTGGAAGTCCGCACCCCAGGGTGTCAGGCAGCCTCCTGTCTACTTCTTAGTCTTCTATCTCACTTTTTCCTGATTTACTTTCTTCTCTGCCCTCAGGGATCCTGTCCTTCACAGCAGATATTTGGAATTTCCTGGGGCTCGCTTTTATGATACTGAAAAAATTAGAAAAAAACTAAATGTTCCAATTCGGTGACTGGCTAACAATATTAGGATATGTCTGAATTTTGTAACATTGTACAGAAATTAAAATGATTTAGAAAAACATTTAATGCGGTAGGAGACTAAGATGCTATTATGCTAAATGAAAAGTCTGTATACCAAGTTCTATCTACATTATGATTCAGTGTCATAATTTATATATGTACATGTGTATAGTGGTACAAAAATCTATAACTAAATGTTAAATTATTAGTTATATTAAACTTTAAATGAAAATATTTACAACTGAATACAATAATTTATCATTTAAGTAATGAAGATTAGATATGTCAAGATTAAATTACTTTATTTCAAGGTAAATATATGTCAAATTGCAATCAAACAACAACAGTTAAGAGACATAGATATACATATACATATATTTGTAGAATATATACTTTTTAAAAACAGTAAAGCATTCTTAATTATCTATAATCTTTTTAACCACAAATTATATACATTTCTCAGCTATGAAATAAAATTAATATGACTAGGAAGACAGACCTGGGACAGAGTAACAACTTTACAAGTAGTTTAACTTTTATGTGTGATGTCAGTAACACCATTATACAAATAAGCCACTTTGCTGGCAATGTTTTGGCAGTGTGAGTCTTTAAGACACTGGCTGGATTTCACAGAAAGTTCTGAAATATAGTAACTCTTGCTTAGTGAGTCTTTGTACAAATTGTGTAGAAGCAGGTACAAGTCGGTCACAGTTGATAAAAGCTAAGCAGACACAAAAGTTTTATTCCCATTGGAAACTGGGCAGAATAATCCTGAGCTCTGATCTCCTGTTTGCTTGTCTGACGGTTTAACAAATTCTAAACACCTTTATGTGGAGGTCAAAAATAATGGAACGAGAAAAGAATGGGGAGATTCCATTTCTGCCAGTAAAATTTTCCAGTCAACACGAGCATTCAGTTTCTGACATTCTTGAGCGGCCATTGCCTATTTAATGCAAAATGTGACTTCTTGTTTGTTGTTGTAAAGGGAAAGCAAAGCTTTTGTTCAGAGCTTTAGGTAAGCAGCTGCAGTCCACTCCACGTAGCTAATGCTGCTTTGGTAGTGAAGCACTGTAGAGGAATGATTTTCGGGCTCCTTCTTTCACAAGATCACTTTACAGACAGGCTTTGAACATATCACTCCACCTCAAAACACTGCGTTGGCTTCTTGGCAGATGAGCTTACATTATCTGAAGGGCGGTAGGAAAGTGTGCTCATTTTTGTTGATAGGTTTGAGTGAGATTTGGCCTTTGGGGGAATGTATTTCAGAAGCTGGAGAAAATATTTTTTAAATTTTTTCCCCAGAAAGCCATAAAAAAGAGGGTTAAGGCAATTGTTAAAATAAGCTATGCAAATGGTAATGGGCATGGCAGTGTCCACAATATCTGAAATTTTACAGTCGTGTATAATGCCCAGCTGGATCAATACGTCCAAAAAGGTGAATATTTGGTGGGGAACCCAAGAAAAGAAAAAGAACAGAACGATCGCCATAATTATCTTAAAAATATCATCATTTCTTGGCTTGTTCTTCTGAATTTCATAAGCCTTCTTTAGGGCCTTCCAAATCAGAGTATAACTCGTAAGGATGATCAGAAAAGGAAACATGAAACCCAGTATATTTTTGGTCAGGCCCAGGCCTATGGGGAGGGTGGAATTTTGGGACTCGTAATGGAAAGCACAAACCGTGATGTTGGTGTTCTCAATGAAAAATACATTTCTGTGAATGACAACTGGCAAACTGGCCAAGCCAGCCAGCAGCCAAATTATGACGCAGGTAACTTTGGCAACAAGCATTGTGCGTCGAAGGCGAGACTTCATTGGGTGAACGATAGCCAGGTAGCGATCGATGCTAAGACAGGTGAGGAGAAACACACTGGCATACAGGTTGAAGCTGACGCTAGCAGAAGCTATTTTACATAGGTAATTGCCAAAGGGCCAGCGGTATTCCATAGCAGTGTACACAGCCCACAGTGGCAGAGTCAGCAGAAAGCATATATCAGCCAGTGCTAAATTCAGAAGAAAAACACTTGCTACCGTCTTCAGTTTCATGTAAAAGTAAATGACAATCACCACCAGGCTGTTTCCAAATATTCCCACCACAAAGATGATACTGTATAACGTGGGGATCATGACAAATATGTAATTGTGCCTTCCAGCTTTGGGGCAGTCATCTTGGATTCTTTTAATACCATCTTCGGTAGAAGAGTTGAGAATCATTTTGATCTCCTCAGTCGATTTAGTCTCAGGCACTACACCAAATGATCCTGGAAAAAGAATAAAAATAAAAAGGTAAAATATCTAGATTGGCACATGTAAACAGTAAGCTTCTCAATCTTAAATCCAGTAACTCAAATTTAGTCTTAAGAAAAACAATTTAGATCACATTTTCTGAAGAAACATTGTGAATTTATAAAGTTGAAAATTATAAGTTAGGTCAGGTGGTTTGCACCTCCTCCAGCACTCAGAGTGAGGATAGTGATAAACTCTGGTCCAACCTTGGAAACAGCGAGACTCTGTCTCCAATAAAAAAGAGCCGAGTGTGGTGGCACACGCCTGTGATCCCAGCACTGGGAAGGCTGGACAGAAAGATCACTGTGATTTTGAGAGATCAGCCTGGGCTACATAGAGAGTTCAAAGCCAGCGGAAACTCCATAGCAAGAGCCTGTCTCAAATTAAAAAAGGAAACAAAACAAAACAAAACAAACAAACAAACAAAAACCTCTGAAGGGATGTAGTTCTGTGCAATGCCCTAAATTTAACCAAAAGTACTACAAAAAACTCACACATACAATATATGTAATTTTTAGAACATATTGTCTATATAGGGAATGATGTTTTCCAGATAAAGAGAAGTGACATCCTATATGAAAACTGTCCAGATCCTTTTGCATTTTTTTCTGTAAGTAAATTCTCCCTTTCCAGTTGATTCAAAATATATTCAAAATATTGAAAAACATTACTGAATTAAATGAATTATTCGGAACAATTTGAAAATTATTTCTGAGGTAAAGTGATGTTAATTTATCTTTAATATGAGAAGTATGACACAACTGTATCTTATTATTTAAACCACTTTTTTCATCTCACCCTCCATTTAGGTATAGAAATTTTTAGTATTATCCTTTAAATAGTAAGAGTAAGTGCTTTGAGGTTACTGAGAAGTGGGTCATTGTAGGAATAGATTTAAAATGGGTAAGAGGAAGGGCTCAGTATTTTGGGAAATACCATTCTTGCCATGGTTTTCCTAGCCTCTACAGGCAGTAACTGTTTATTCTTTAACTTCAACTCAGTCTCGTAAAAATCTCTGAACCTCTCCATTGCGCTCCTGCTAGCCACATCTGGAGTTAACTCTGAAGTAACCCTTTGTATAGCGAGGCTGTCAAATGAACAGATTAGGCTAGGATAATCAGCAAGGCTTATCTTTGGTGAGTGCTTGAACAGCAGCAGTTCTTCGGGATTTTAGGAAGAGTCAGATGTGCAGGAAAGAGCTCTACAAGGACTTCTGCAAATATTTGCTTCCATATTTTAGATAATCAAAAATCAAATAGATCATTTATGTGATTTGGAAAATGAACACATTCTGTGCCATCTACGTCCATCAAAAAGTCCATCCTGGGAAGGAGGTTGAAGATGCCTTCTCCAAGTAAGTAATGCTATTCTTCCTATCCAAGTATTTGGTTCCGTGGCCTCATCATCTTTTCATTTTGCACTCAACTTTATACAACCCTAATCCTTTGCTTCTTTTGCTCATGGAAACATCGGTGTCACCTGTTACATTTTGTGGAAAGTTCTTTCAACTTTCGTTAGTTGCTTTGGAACTCTGGATGCAGATTTTGATACTTTAATCATATCTGTGTTCCTCAATGGTCTGTCAGCTGCTTGAGGGGAGGCCAGTTTGAATCATCCTGTTTACTACTGGTACAGTCCAGGAGGCAGTTGACAAAGACCTCAGGAATGACAGTGTGTGGTCAAATGAATGAGTGGACAATAGTTAACTTCGATGCTATAGAGAGTATCGAGACTAATTTCTGTGAGGCTTATGAAATTATTTTATAGCCTGCTCTTTTATAGAGTCTCACATAACTACTCTGTGTCCACTTTAGCCTCACTACAAATAAAAAAACAAAAACAAAACAAACAGGCAAAAAAATTTCTTTTGGTGCTTTCACAAATGTGTGGTTTAGAAAACAAGAAGAAAAGAGGGACTAATTTAACAGAGCGTAGGACTAGCCTTCTAGGGAGATACAGCTAGTTGCTTCTCACTTAGAAGGACTTTTGTATGCCTTGTGGACTCTTCCACTCATTTTATTACAGTTATTGAATATATTCCAATTTAGAAGTATAATTTCCTTAGGCAAATATTCTCCACTAAAAGTTAATTATTTCATAAAAGGTTTATGGGCTAAAAGTCACTCATGTCTTAATATGGATTAATTCACCTATTTGTTATCCTCCTAACATCGAGGTTTGATCAGCTGGATTTTGTTTAGGAAAAAAAAATTAGCAATTTCAAAGTTAAGGAAACTTAATAGTTGAAAAGGGTCTGGTTGAATGCCAAAACTGAAAACTGAGGTAAATCTTTGGTTCTGCCAAGGTATACTACATAAAGGCACAGATTTCCAATGATGAATGTCATTATATTGTGTCCATAAAATGTACCCATAAAATTAATTTTAAAATAAATCTTTGGTTCTGAGTATGAAGACTCTATGAGATAGAAAGAACTACACTGGCTATATTAGAATCCCAAAGCAGGAAGGAGATTTTCCTTTCTTCCCTCTTTTCCCTTTTGACCCTGTTTTGCGGGCACACAATCAGGATGGTTCTACCAATCCCGTATTTGGAGAGAGGATAATTTTATTGACTAGTCTGAAACTGTAACCAGCATTCATAATAGAATAGAATAGGGGAAAAGTTTGCATTTGAGAGGCTGATTTATAAGCATAGTTTTGAAATCCAACTTCTTCAAAGCTGAGGTCAGTGCCTTCTTCTGTTCCCGCCAATTCACAATGACTAGTGTTGAATGTGCAAAAGGTTGCTTCAGACCAGGTGGGGGATCAACCCTGAAAACTAGTGAGGTATTTATCATCTTAGTGAGCGTATCACTTGAGAATCTGGACACAGTGGTGAATGTACTAATTAGAAGAACATTTTAGCTAAGCATGTGTAGAATGACTATGACTGCCTGCTTAATAAGGAAACAAACTTTGTCATACTTAAGAGTGGAGGAAAGAGGGAGATAAATGGTAGGGGATGGAAAGGGAGCAAGAACAGGGAGGTAGAAGTGCAAGGAGCATATGCAGCAGGTATTCATTTGTCTGTCATGTGGCCACTGAACACCTACTGTGTGCAGGTGTCGAGGATGCAAAATGAAAAAAATCAGTCACTCTTTTCCTTTGTAGTGTTCAAGTCTAGCTGTTGGAAATAAAAGCCTTAAAGACAGAATTCTTTCTCATGTGTGGAAGGTTATACCACACAGAGGCTTGGGGGATGTTTTGTCTTTGTCACTGAGTACAGAGTACTAGGGTGCAGGAAGGGGAAAGGAATAAAAGAAAGCACTTGGATTCCTGAGGGTGCAAGGGAAACAGAATGGTAAAAATATGAAACCGGCCAACCTGAGTAGAGACTTCCCTTGAAACGACCCCTTCTCACCAACTTCTGCAGGATCATCACTGGGAAACGGCCCCTGAAAGTTTACAGATGTTATGTAACTGTTTTGGAGGTGTTGGATGTGCTCTGGGCATTTCTGGATATGAGGGTGACATGGGCCATTTTGTTATCACTATAAGCTTTCCCAGAGAAACACGGTTCGTAGCGAAGAGAAAAAGGAGATTTCTGATGATCGGCAGCAGCTTTAGACTGAGAACAAACTAGTGGGAAACCATGGGGATCCTTTGTTTTTGAAGTGGAAGAACCGTGTTTTGGCAAGAAACTGAAGAGAAAGATGTTCTGAGCCGCAATTCAGAGCCCTAGAGAAAACATTCTATTTCAGTTACATCTTGCTTCTCTTCCTAGGAAGATTAGGGGCAGGTAGAGCACAGGAAAAGCGCAGCAGTCCCTGGGTGCCAAATGACAGACAGGACTAAGAAGTTCTAGCGCTTCACTGCACAGTAAGGTGATAAAATAATGATCATGTGTTATATAACCTCAAATAGCAAGAAGAAAGGATTTGGAATGTTTTCATCATAAAAAAATGAAAAACACTTGATGAGACATACTTATTTCACCTGATGTAAACATTACAAAATAAATACATATATTGGAACATTACATAGTACCTCAGTAATATGTATTAATTTTTTTATTCATTTAATATTAATTTTAAAGAACCACCAGGAAGATCTACCTCTTCCCACTTTTTCCTATTTCTGGGTCTTGCTATAACTTTTATTTAAGCTCTGTGGTTTACATGAATTCTGTAGCACCAGTTAGCCTTGCGGGAAGATAAGTTTGGAGTCAACACATTTTTAATCAAACTGTGTTGTGCCACTTGTCATTATATATGTGGCTCTGGGTAAGTCGCTGCATTTCTCTGAATGTGAGCCTTAGTTTCCTCATCTATAAGATGAGAATAGTGACTCTTATTGTGCATGATAACTGTAGGAAGTAAATGAGATAACATGAAAGTACTGGATGTGTCTTTCAGACAGCAAGTGTAGATGTGTTTTATTTTAACCTTACCATTCTTTTTCGAAGAATTTACTCAGGGAACAATTTACTGAGAACAGCCATTGGTAAGGAAAGCATATATTTTAAAAAATGGTTTATCATTGGTAAACCTTTTTTGTTAAAAGGCTAAAAATGTCAAGCTGTTGTTTTTCAGAAGTATAGATAAAAATAGTCCTAAACAGCTGAACAAATGTGCTGGGAACCTTCCGTCTGCTGCAAACATAGGAATTTGCTTATTGTTGCCAGGCTACCTTTAGTCACTGTTTACTTTTTTAGGAATTACCTTGTATTCCTTCACAGCTTCCTGAATCCTCAAAACAAGCACGATAAGGACGATTTTCTTTCTTTTCATTCTAAAAATATTTTCCCTGCTTTTCTGATTATAATATTAATACCTTCTTAAGCTTTTAGGCAAGCTGAAACCAATCTAATTAAATTGTTCATTACAAGCTGCTGTTTAAATGAATTTGTAATCTAAAGAAAAAAAATAGTCCATGATTTCCTATGATAATAAAGATAGAACTAAAAGATCAAGTAATTACATTTTAGAATCATTTTCTATCAAAGTATCTCTCTCAAATATCAAAAAGAGCAGTCCGGTATTTGTAAGTCATTTGCTTGTAGAGTTAGACAGCTCAGTGAACACTCTGTTCAAAACCATTTTCTTTATTGCAGTTATTTTATCATTCAGGCTTCAGAAGCCATTTGCTTCTCTTTCTGTGTGCTCCTCTCCAGCAATGCTAAAGAGAGCGACTGCGAGTGTATATTCATTTGTGAATTTATTCACTCAGACACTGGTGCTAAAACTTTTAAGGAGTCTACTTGTTTTTTTGTAAAACTATTTTATCCTTATTTTTTAGCTTTCTGTTCATATTCTATGGTCTATATTTTCCTTTATTTCTTCAAACATTTTCAGCATTGGTATGTTGAGTCTCTACCTAATTGCTCCTTGGTATAGATTCTCATTGTTGATCTGTGGATACTCTTTTGAGGAATTTGCCTTCTCAGGTTTTGTAATATTTGGCTGGGTGTCTCTTTTCGGTGGAAGTGAACTTCCTTAGGAAACTGAGAATCTGGATAGCGGCAACTTGTGAAACTTACCCTTGGGCATACAACACTCATTTAATCTGGAAACGTTTTTAATTTGCATTTATGAGCTTAGTTTTCTCTCAAAATCTTTTCTGTATATACCCTAGATTAGACTGCCTACCTGCTATCAGATATTATTTACTTCCTTTACCATTAAAATTGTGAAAATTGAAGCACAGCAGAAAAGCACTGGCCTGGAGTCCTGGCAGAATCTGCCCTGCCACTAGCCAGCCACACCATCTACACTGGGCATTTAACCCCTTATTTTGTTACTCCCTAAATATTACAAAATATTTAGAATGGGAATACCAACCCCTGTTCTCATTTTTATCTCATCACTGATAGAGTTAAAAAGTGAGATCTTTGGAATACATAAAAGCCTTTTGAGACACGTAGCCATTTTATAATCAAGGGTAAGACAAATGAATTTGATTAAAGAAAGTTCCGTCTTTTTTTTTTTTTTTTTTGAGACAGGGTCTCAGTATGTAGTTGAGACTGACCTGGAACTCACTATGTAGCCCAGGTTGGTCTCGAACTCATAGTGATCCTCCTGCCTCAGCCTCCCCAGTGTTGGGATTACAGGTCTGCGCCACCATGCCCTGCTGAAAGCTCAGTTTTTAAAAAGAGTAATGACATTTTTATATTCAGAAATATTTTTCACTCTCATACTCAAATGTCTTTAAGAATTACAATGAGGTACTTGATTAACACCGGAAAAAGGTGGAAGGAGACATGGTATATAGGCTCTACATTTAAAAATGTGGTGCCAAATATTTGGGTCCAAGCAGGGGCTCTTAGGTCAAATCTGGAAGCAGACATATTTTCTTTGTCCCTAAGTATTTAAAGATTTGGAGATCTGAGTCCTCTGTGATCCCCACTGTCTTCTGTGTTTTGATTCTTCAGGTCAGTACCGTCCAAAGAAATATAATGTGAGCCACACATGTACTTCACATTTTTCTAGGTCACATTAATAAAGAGAAATTCATTTTGATCACATTTTATATAACCCAATATATCCGAATTATTATTTCAATATGAAAATTGTTGGCATTTATTTGTAACATGTCTTCAAAATCTGGAGTGTACTTTCAGCATCTGACACATCTCAGTAACCACTTTCCCAGGGCTCCTCCCGCCTTGGGCTGGCTGTCGGAGTGAACAGCACAGCACAGGTGCTTCCTTCACCAAGGTCTCTAATAAATGCTGGTGTCTGCAGCCTCACATTAGTTCAGGACTTTGCTAGAAGTGCACATGTCAGGCTCCACCCAAGAGGTACTGAATCAGAAACTCTGCAGGTGGGGTCCAGCAAGCTATGTTTAATGAACTCTCTTGGCAATTTGGATGCAGGCTAATATTTGAAAAAGACTTCATTGGGGCATCTTGATTTGCAAATGTAGTTTAAATGCTGATAATCATGATTAATAGGCACAACCAAACCCAATGCACATCAAAAATACTCCGAGCTAAAATGTTTGAATTTGGCCTCACAAAGCATCAGAAATTGAAATGTGAGAAAGTACTGCTTAAGAATTACTCATTACACCTTGCGTTTGCTTTAAACATTTAGCTCTGGCATAGCTAGGTATGTCCGGCAGGATGTCATCCGGTAGGATGCCCTTCACACCCACTCACGGGTATCTAAAATTCCTTTACCTTCCAGGCCCCCTCCCCATTAGAACTAGGGTCTCCTTGAGGAGAAAACACAGGGGCTCAGGGGAGAGCCAGGGTTAAGGTGGCGGAGAGAGAATAGTGACAGGGACCAAAAGATGGGAATTCAGCACATAGGACTTGCTTCCTATGGGCGGTCTGACTTTTCACTTCACCTGTGATTTATTTCCCCCAGTTGGGAAGTGTTAACAGTGGTGCTCATGGTGGGTGATGAAGAAGCACGTGTTCGTCCAGTCTCGTTCATAGTATTGTTAGATGCATCAAACCTGATTAGGTATGTGGAGCTCCTAGGGCTTGGGGCTTTAGTTGCTGTTGTCAAATTCACACTATGGTGTAAATGACTATTTCCCCCTGCCAGCAAATTTGGAGAGTTTAGGAAACTGCAAGAAGTAGCCAAGCTAAAGTATGAGCAAGGGGTGGACTTGGGGAGTGGAGCTGGAAAATACTACTAAAAAGCTGCTTATACTGGACTGCTTTGATAAGTGTTCTTACATCCTATGTAATTTAAAAATATGAATTACAATGATACTGCCCCACTGATTGGGATACAAAATTTCGACCATTCTATCAACCATTTTTGCGACTCCACTTCTTTTCTATGTTGGGCTAGTTGGGCTTTCTAATTAAACAGCCTGTGGCAACAGGCATGGATGCTGGGCCAATAAAAGGTAAACGACACTTTGCCGACTGAAAAATAAAATGAGACACCAGGGACTGCTGTTTCCTGTGAAAACTTCATTCGCAATAAGTGAGTTACCAGATCACACATCAGATTTGAAATTAAAATGTATTCCCTGCTTTTGTGTGAGTCTGAGCGAGAGTTTAAAATGAACTCTTTTCAAGAGAGCTGTATAAGATAATGTACCTTTTCTGCCTTCTGATAGTTTGTTCCTCCTCTAAATGTAAAATCAGATGCATCTTTTGGTTTGTAAATTGGCAAAATATAGCATTTTTGCCTTGAAGGGCTGGATGGTGTAGCAGTGTATTCTCATACAGCAGCAACTGTGGAAGGAAAAGGGGGATATTTTTTAAGACTTTGTGTCCTGCCAAGACCACTGTATCCTCTTGTTTTTAACTTTGCTGTGGGAATTTCTCTTTTTCTCACTTCCACTTTTCACAGTGGCTGTTTGCTTTTATCACCATCAACAAAACTGTTCAAGTTGTCACCTGTCAACGTCTACTCTGCTCTTCCTGAGCTGTGCTGTAACAAAAAGCTTGTCAGTGCTACCCTTTTTTCATAAGATGTTAAAACTCTCCTCT